GCCTCTGATCGCTGCTGGCCAGGAACAGAAATAGAAGTACCGCGATTGCGAAGGCTGTCACTGAGTATAGCTCCTACAATTGCAGTAATAGTCTTGGTCTTTCCAGAACCAGGGGGACTGCGATGGTAATTAGCATTTGTAGTAGTAAACGAACATGTGATGACTTACCCTTGGATCAAAGTGAATGCATCATTGTCAATAGCTGACTTGATGGCTTTCGCTTGTGCAGTATTGACGTTGTAGTTGGAGATGAGCGGCTGGATCTGACTATCCTTGTAGGTGAGGAGTGGAGACGGTTTCGCCCGGATGATCTCATCGCATAGATCATAGTACTGAAGACCCTTGAGCGCACCATATTCACGTTCAAGAGGAGTGATGGACTGCAGCTTAGTACCGAGTAGGGTGTTGTTTGGCTGTAGCGCCGAGTTCAGTGGATTGCCTGGTACGACGCGGTATGAGACTTCAATATGTTGTTGCTTTCGTTTCACACGGAACACTCTGGCGAGGCAAGTCGGTTCCTCAGCTGAGGGATTCTTTGACTGCGAAAAGAGAATAATGTCACCTTCAGAGATGAACACTTCCCTGTTCTCGACATGTGTCATAGTGCTACCAATCTCCTGGAACATATCGACAGCAGCTCGCGAGGTGATTCGTATCTCGTATGGCCTGGCTTGGTTCTCCTCGCGAGCTTTGACAAAGCCTTGCCACGCTTCAAGGGTTAGAAGCGGCTCGAAAGTATTTTGGTAGTCGTTGGGTGTGCGGAAAGTATTGAGGACCTTGGAATACAGCTCTGGTCTCGACTTTGGGGGAAAGTCGCCCTCGTGAAAGTAGTTCCAGCTGAGGATAGTACGGTGTAGACTACTAAGGTCAGGTGCCAAACGAGCACGCATGTCCTTGGCAGATCGTTGAGCTCTCTTCTTCTTCGTCGGCATTTGAATCTTGACTTCGTTGACAATGTTTGTTCTGGGTCCGGCCTTGACCTTTTCTTTCTTGATGCCAAAGAGATCTTCGTCAATGTCGCCCTCTTCATCTGATGACTCGTCAGATGAATGCATCAAGCCTTCGCCCTTTGCAGCCTGATCTTTGCCCAAGACTCCCAAGCCTTCCAATCCAGAACCAGCTTCAGCAGTGATGCCCCTAGCCGCTTTGGCTTTGGCAACCGCAGCGGCCTTCTCTCTCTCTCGTTTCTCCTTGTCCAATTGCCGCTTGCGTTTAAACTCAGCTTGCGTAGCATTCTTCTTGTCTTCAGCAGCCTTCTGTGCGGCTTTTTCTGCAGCCTTCATCTGCTCTCGTCGCTCTTGGAACTTGCTAGATCCGGAAGTCATACTAGCAAGCAACTTGGCCTTGGCATCAGCTGGTGACGATGAAGTAGCATCAGGAGCCATCCATTTGCTGATGGAAACTTGCTTGGGCTTAACGGGCTCTTCTTCTTTGACAAGCGGGCGTCCAAGATGCTCTTCCAAAGCCTGTTGGAGCTCAGCCTGCTGCGTATCGCTAAGCTTCGCGCGCACATCTCCTGAGAGCACGCGCTCCATGTAGGAGAGCGTATCAGCATCAATCTCAATAGATACCCGATGTAGCCGGACCAGAAGCTTGCTAATCAGCGTAACGGATTTACTCGACAAAAACTCGTCGCGAAGACGCAGCCATCTTGCTAAGCCTTCCATAGCATTTGCGGGTCGTGCTAGTAGCTCTTTGAGCAACTGGGTTTTTGACGTGGTCTCCTCGTCGTCTGTGGAAGGAGGTTTCAAGGCAGTTGCGAAAATGCTGCACTGGTCAAACAGAACATCAGCAAATTGCATAGTGTCTCTGCAGAAATCCATCATCATGGCCTTGTCATAGAAGCCCAAATTACTCCAGGCTTCGGTCGTTGCAAAGATCATAGTGAGTGAGTCCCAAAGGTTCTCCCACAGGTTCATCGTCGCCGCGGCGTCTCCGGATTCGTATTCTCGGCCACGCAAGATACCGTCTTGAGTGTTGCAAATGATGTCGATGATATCGTTGCAGGTCCTGATCATACTGGGCACGGGAGAGAATGCCTTCTTTAACCTGACCTGCCGCACTGAATCTGAGATACCTCGCACGACATGCCTGTAGTGGGCCTTCAGGATGTGTTGCAGTGCCCCGCGGCGCTCTTCTTCTCCACTGATGACCTTCAAAAGCTCAACAGCGGAGTTGCGGGTATCCTCCGTTGATGAGAACATCAACGAGACAATTGCACTGGCTGCGGGTTGTTGGCCAAACAGCGCTTGCAGTAAGGCGGGCTCGAATTCAGACATCTTCTCCACGACATCGGTAATAGATTGAGACAACAACCTAAAACGATCGTTGAAATGGCGCACCGTCGGGGGCACTTTGTCCACGCCCGACTTCATCTGCAGAGGTTCAAGGCCGATCAGGCCCCTCCCGGCAATGAGCATATGCGTTGCGAGTTCCAAACTGTCGGGCCCTATTGCCCTCAAGACAGTCTTCCAGATAGGACTGGACGGCGGTGTCTCAGTGGGCGATGGCTGCTTCGCAGATATCAATTGCCTCTCAATGATCAAAGACTGTGCCTCGAGCTTGAAAGCATGCTCAATGACCGAGAGTGCTAATTGAAAGTCCCCTTGGTCCTCTTTATTGCCCTTGAAACGCTTCAAGTTCACGACAAGTGCCTGTATATAGGTAGATAGCACATCAAGCATGCTGTTGACGGTGGGCTGGCCAACAAATCTATCAATAGTCTTGCCTTCTCCCATTTTGCGGAATGCATAGTCCAGTACTTTAAGACCTTCCCTGTAGCAATATTCCCTGGACTTTTGCGGGTACTTGTCTGATTGAAAGCGGCCAAGTAGCGCTTGAGCAAAAGGCCGAACCGCTGGTCCAAGATTTGCCAGCTTAATCGAGTCAAGAAAAGGCGGTATCCAGGCAAAGGCAGAATGAAGGTTGTTCATATTCTGCTCCTTATCTTCCGCTGCTGCTAAGAGTATTTGGTTGAAAACGGGACTGTTAAACACTTGTTCAACCACGGTTGCAATAGACGGGGTAACGGCGTTCATGCCGTCCCAGTAGTCGACGGGAGACTTTTCGAGTAGTTGCTTCATGGTGGCAATCAAGTCCAAGAAGCCCTCTGATTTCAGCGAAAGGTGGTCGAGCATCAACCGATAGAAATCTCCATCGAGTCCTCGCAAGGATTCGGTAATGAGATCTCTGTCCATCTTTGCGACTATGAGTCGCGCGCCACTCCAGAAAAGTGGTACCATGGAGATGTCGAGGTTGTACATCTGAATCTTCATCATGGCACTTGTGACGTAGTCCCGCACAGCCCAATCCCACTCCGACTTCAGCATATTGCGCTTGAAAGTAGACCACGACTCTGTCGCCCATTTTTGGCGCCGCTCGACCCTGCTGAACAAGAAGCGCGTCATGGCTGGAAGGTATGTCTGAACTTTTAATCGTTTCTTCGTTTGAACCATGTCGAAGGGAGCGTCAAAGTGTTTCTGGAGGAGCTCCTCGTTCCGTATTAGTGCATCGCAGCTCAAGGCTTCAAAGAAGCCATAGGTGCATTCGTTCGGCAGCAGTCGTACTGAGCGTGTTTTCGGTTCGGCTTTACGGAGGATTTCGGTCGCCTCGTCCAGGCCCTTGTGTATGCGTTGCAAGCATTGAGCATCCACCACCTCTAGAAATGGGCCAATGTTCTCCTCGTCATACGAGTCGAGCAGACGTGTCCGCCACTCGGCTCTGGACTGATGGAAGACCCTCACACAGACATCGCAGCTCTGCATCAGGTGGTTGAGCCGGCTGATCAGCCATTCCTTGTGTGGTGCCGCCTCCTCTCCATCAAATGCCAATATCTCCGTCGCCTTGAGTGCCGTCCATTTCCGCTCCTCGGCTGCCTGGATCTTTATCCTGCGGTCTTCGAGTTCGGCGGGGTCGGTTTCCGGTGGGTAGGCAGCGATGTCTTCGTCGTAGTAAACAGATCCATCGTCGCCGATGCGGGGACAGAAGAGATGCTGGTCTTCAGGCAGCTCTCGAAGCTCGCTGCAAGGAGCCAAGTCAGCCATGGCCAGTCAAGGTGCACAGAGATGATTGAGGAAGGAACACATGGCGCAGGCTGGTGATCAAATAGACTGCGACGGGTAGAGGCACGACATGTGTGGTCCTCTGCGCGTCTCACTACTTACTTTATCTTCTCGAGTATTTCCGCCATACTCTCTCACCAAGACGCTCACTTGGGACGGAATGCCCTTTCACAAGTCCCTATGAGATGCCAAGCCGCAACCCAGCATTGAACGCGCCCAAGAGTCCTGTTGACTTTTTTTCAAATGCGCACCTGTGTCTATCTACAAGGCGATGACCTATCAATCGTGCCAGGAACCGAGGTACGGACGCTCGCTATCAATTACCCGGTGCGCGGCACCGATTCTGGGTCAAACGTGCGAGGGCTGCTGTGGGTTGCAAATACGGGACTTGGGAATGTGTTGTCAAAGGAGCGTCGGTGAGAGAGCGGGTTCAGTTGGAAGAGGGTAGGGGTCGGGGGCGTCGGTTGCGACAGAAAGAAAGAAAAGGCACATATGATGGGACGTCGGTGCATTGGAACAAGGCCCCATGCAAACGCGCGACGCGGCCTCTGCTAGCGCCCCGCGTCCGCGTTCCTGAGCCTGCCAAGCCTATTACGCTTCCTGTTCTATCCCCATAGCAACTCTTTATCATGCATTGCACAATTGACTTGAACTGAGATTGTTGGACTGGGATCGTTAGATGGGGATATCTAATCAGGTAATTTCAGACGTCAAAGTTGAGGTCACGAGACAGACACTAGTACCAATGTCACAATATGCACCACACTTCTCTACAGCATGTTTTTACATTATGATTTTCTCTGAACTCACTTGACATTGGACCGTAATAAATCCAGGCTTCTTCTATTAATCCATGACAAACGTTTCGGTCATCGAAATGTCAATACTGTAATACCCAACGCCACCTAAAAGCATTCCACTCTCCAACTACCATCTCATCTAACCGTCCACACCCCTCCCTTGAAGCACCTCTACCTTTCGCTCCTCCACCGTACTAAAATCCTTACGTGCGCTAACCAACCAATATACACCCGCAAAAGAAGCAACAATAACATATACCACAGAAACATCTATTCTCAAATCAGCACAATCCACTGTAATACGTATCCGAGCAGATAACTAGGAAGGGGTGAACTCACAATTCATATTACCCGGCTTAACAGGCTTCGCATAAGGGAACGAGTACATGACAAGCGTGAACAGCGTCCAGACAAGCAACACAACGTTTGCAACCGCACCCCAAGGACCCAGCCAAAACGGGCCATGATCGATATTGTTACGACCTCGAAGCAAAAGACATATAACGGGGATGGCGTAGCTGAGGTACAGAAGAACAATACATGCTGCGATCATTCTACAACACATCCCGTCAGTTCAGTCATATCCACGTGATATGAGAAGAAAGAGAAGGGAGAAAGAAAAAAAAAAGGGAGAACTCACGAATTAAACGCCGTCAAAGACGCCAAATACAAACACCCCATGACAGCCACAACCCCACAACTCGCCGCATGCGCATAAAGCGGTACATCCAGCCCCGGATGCACCTGCGCCAACCACCGATGCCCCGGCACACCCCTATCGCGCGCAAAGCTCCAGCAAAGCCGACTCTGCCACGTATGACTCGCCACCAAACACCCGAGGCCTGTAACGATAATCAAGCTCTCGAGCACAATAGCGCCCGCGGTACTCTTATCCAACGCACGATAAAAAATCTCGAGAATAGGGACGCCCGTTGCCGAAGCGCTGATATCAGCAAAGTCGCCTACGATGGAGAAGAAGATGGCGACGGAGAAGAACCAGCTTGTTACGAAGCCGATGGCTACAGTGCCCATGATGGCGATGGGGACCATTTTCTCGGGGCAATGGATTTCCTCGGCGAGATGCGTGGCGCAGTCTAGACAGGCAAAGGCCCAGTTTGTATTTACGAGGCCGACGATGAAGGCGATGCCGTTTTCGCTCCAGCCCGTGTTGTTGATGAAGGTGGCGAAGACGAAGCGGGCGTGTTGGTGCGTGGGTGCTACAGCAGGGACGGTGATGAGGATGACGAGGAAGGACACGAGCGAGGTCCAGAGCGTAGTGCTACCGACCGAAGGCAGGATCTTGCCGTAACAGTTGAAGAGGAAGCAGAAGAGGTTCGAGAGTTGGTAGGCTAGGAAGACGTGCCAGGTTTTGATCGTGCTTTAGCATGCACAGTATACTTAGTACTTCCTTCTTTCTATCTCTCTCTCTCTCTCTCTCTCATTCAGACACACACATATACACATATATCTCTTCATCACATGACATTTCATTCACCTCCTCCCCCCCCTCAACATAATCAAGAAAAGAGAACAAGGAAGGGGACGGGATATGGGGAAACAAGGAATATAAAAAAAAATCAAACTTACAACTCAGGATGCCCCAACTGCCAACACCCCACAACCGCCCCCCCAACAGCCAATGCAACAGACGCACTCGTAAACATAGCCCCCCACCACGCCAACCACCCCGTAACATAACTCGCGCCCCTCCTCCACCTCCCCGGCGCCAACACCCCCGCCCAAAAATACTGCCCTCCTGCATTCGGCATCGCACTCGCCAACTCACTTAGACTAACTCCCACCGCCGTCGAAATCAGCGCAATCAGCAAAATCCCGTAGATAACGAGGAGCGGACCGCCAGAATTGATGCCGGTGATGAGGGCGGCCGAGATGCCGAACCAAGAGTTTGTGATTGAGAAGCCGACGCCGAGGACGGACCAGACGGTGTATTTGCGGCGCATGTCCTGCGTGTAGCCCATTGAGGCGAGTTTGAGGGCGTCGGCGTCGACGGAGGTGAGGCTGGGGGGTGATTCTGCGTCGTGGGTGGCGGCAGCGGTGAGAGAGGCATCGTGGGTTAGGACCTCCTTTTGCGTTGGGGCTGGGGGTTTGGTTTCTGGTGAGGCATTGCGTGTCATTCTTTCAAGTGGGGAGTAGTAGCCTAGCAGCTAGATGAAAGAAGGGGGGGGGAGAGAGGGAAGAGTAAGTATGTTTTTAGAAGAAAAAAAAGCCAATGGATCAAGTTGCTACACGATTGTCCTGGTACAGAATGCTTTTATGCATGGTGCCAAGTGCGGGTTCGCGGAAGGGGGATCATTAAAGCTTATATGCCGGCTTGCAGGACGTAAGAACTCATCTTATAGGATGCTTCGGCACTATTATGGAGGGGAAGGGGGGGGAGAGGAACAAACAAGTCGTAGATAAGGAAGTAGCAAATCATCGTCGGTCGAGCTGATAAAAGGAATTATACATTTGTATTGGTTGCCGAGCTGTGCACAGCTTTCGTTCGCGCTTACTATGGTGTGTGGTGAGAGAGTCCAGGTCCCCTACTAGCACGGGACAATAGGGATGGCGTGTAACTTGCGCGAATGCACAAAGAGCTGGGCTATACAAGCAAGGTGAGTTTTTTAACCACGGCTTGATATTAAGCGAACCCTACTTTATGAGCAAAGCTGAAAGCATGGACTACGCGAAGCAGCTGTGAAAGTGGGTCAATGCAATCCTTCGGTCGGGAGACCATGTGTCGTGGTCGTTTATACCATGGTGCTTTTAATGCGCGGGCTGGCTAGTATACTTAGGTCTAGAAGAACAAAGCAACGTGTGGATTGGTGGAAACGCAAAAAGGTTCGAACCAACACACGGGACAGACGGTATCAATGGCCGGGAAAGGGTACTGGTGATGTAAAAGAAATCGAGGTCTGTGTGTCACGTTTGGTCCCCAGCCAAGGGCATTGGCTCTGCGGAATGCGGGGATCGCTCGAAGAAGTAAAATGCCCTGCGACGGGACGAGGCCGGCATCCGAGCGGCAGAGTGACGCGTATCGTGGCACACAGTCAATAAGTTCCCAGGATCTACACAGTATGGACGCGTGAGATCCAGTCAAGTGTACGAGGCGAGCAGAGCGGGTGGGTCTGCGCAATCCATGCTCAGACTTCCCCCCCCCCCCCATGTCTTCGAGAAAATCGTTGGCTGTGAGCACCGTGGGCAGGAGAAGAAGAAACGGTACAAGACGGGAAGCTCTCTTGTCGCACTACAGTTACATTGTGTGTATCTTTAAGTGGAGAGTTTCAGCGGAGCGGTCCGTTACTGTGGCCTTGCGGTAGCTGGCAGGGAAGAAAAGAGGTCAGCCCTATGGCGGCAGTAGTAGTCAGCGTAATCAAAAGACTTGTGGTCCGACACACGCCATACTTCTGTCTCATCAAGCAGTTACCTTGTCTGGGTATGTGCGTTGTTCGAAAAAAAGAAAAAAGCCAGGACCCTGATTTTTGAGTGCTGATAATCTTCATCTGCGTATCCATAGGGCGTTTCGTCATCCCCACAAGCCTCATTCGCCCAACCGTGGCGCTCTTTTGCATTCTCTCAAACACCCTCTTTATAGGTGCACGGCTTCTTGATAAAGTTCCGAACTTGCCGGTGGCGGGAGCGCTCGCACCGGTGGGCTGCCTGTGTTCCCCGTACGTGTACACCGACATGGTATCACCATGTGTACTCGTATTGAAGCAATAGGCCAAGATGATTGCTCCCTCCATTTCAAATGTGTTCATGTAGCCGGGGTTTCCTAGTCGCCTCGAGTCCTCTTTACGTATACATAGGGCTTCACAAAAAGTGATGCATTCGCGGGTGTAACGGAACCTCGAGGGCATTCTTTTGGAATCTGTGATCTAAACGGACCGCAAAAGAAACCTTGCAACAAACCTTGGGCGAGTCGTGCACAAGATTAGAGGTAACGTTACATCCTCAGACCTCGTGTCCCGAGTGTAGTTTAGCAATAGTAGAGTGGTGCGGGTAGAGTAGTCAGAAAGAGTGCGTGTAAGTGGTGTATGTGTGGGATCACTAGTCTTGAGTTTATTGGGGCTACGTTGTGGATTCAAAAGGGTGGTGATGAACAAACCGACTAGAAAAAAAAGGTAACCGCATGATCACAAAAAGTACGGAGAATTCGGTGTTGGGGCAGTGGGCACGTCATCTTCTCCCAGAAAGGCAAGTATGGGGCGACAAAACAGGAAGCAATGCCCAGACCAAACTAGGCTTACAGGGAAGTAGCGGCCCACGAACAAACGGGACACAAGTGAGAAGGTGGAGCGTAGAGTGAATTATCGTACTGCATTCGACCCGATGCCATGGGCAGCGAGAGAGAGGGGGAGAGAGAGAGATCTGATCTAAACAGTACCTGCTAAATGAGACACCAAATGCTAGAGATGTCGAGGGTGACGGCAAAAGGAGATGAGAACAAAGAAAACACCACACCACGCCAATATCCGCGTAAGGACATACAGTCGTCCGACAAGTGCAACTGCATTTCTCTCCAACATTGCGTGCCCACATGATATCGTGCCGCCGCTGCTGCTGTTGCTGCTACTACACTGCTGCTACCGCCATTGTAATGCGAAATTCCGCATCTCGTACACCGGCGCGACCGCTCGCCGAGCGACACCGTGATTACTTTTTTGCCATTATGTGGGTATCCATATCCAGTTACTATGCGCCTTGCGAGGAGTTGACCTGCTACCGAACCGGTAGAAGTATACATGTATTAACGTCTAGCCCAGCTTCTGGTCCTGGGGGTAGTGACCTCCAGGATGGCGGGGCATGCCTTGTTGCGCCATGGGGTACTGGTTTGACTGCTGCTGCTGTTGCTGCAGATAGCTCTGGTAGTGCAGAGCAGCCTCTGGGGTCATGTAGGCTTGGGGCATGGCCTGGTTGTTGGGGGGCATGCGGGGCTGGCCCGGTGGCACTTGAGCGTGGTTGTCCTCGGGCGACTCGACCGTGTCGTTGTCGACACCGTTTGCATCGCCACTTGAGGGCTCTGGGGCATTCAGGCAGGCCTGCGGGCGTGGTTAAGAATGGAATGCGAAAGGGATTGGGTTGAAAGGGGAGGAGAGCAGCCTTACCTGGATGAGGTTCTTGCCCTCGGGCTTGGTGACCAGCGGTTGCAGCTTAGGTGTGGTAAACGTGTAGACAAGACCCGTCTCAGAGACGACGAGCAGTAGAACTTGGGTGCCGGTAAGAACGGACAATTCGTAGGCCTGCGAGGGTTGCCACGGTCAGCAAAAAGAAGGGCTTCCTCTTGGATGCGCGCAGGTTGGGGAGTTGTAGGTGGATGCGTGTGCAGGATGAGTTCGCGCGGCGCGCACAGGGACAACAAAAAAACGGGCGGGGGTTTTTTTTGACGAGACAAACATACCTTCTTCATGATACCAGCCTTGCGCTTGGAAAAGGTGATATGCCGACGCGACTTGTCCTGGATGAACTTGATTTCAATCTTTCTTCGCTCACGGCCGGGCTTGTCGTCGTCGTCGTCATCGTCGTCGGCAGCGGCGCGCGCACGCTTGACGCCGCGGTTCTCCATGCCCAGGGAGCCATTTCCGTCGTCGTGGACAGAGGGCGACGCGTTCTGGTCGTGCTCGGTGATTTCGCTGGCCATGGTGGTTGTCGAGGACGGCAGTGTGATGGTGGTTACCGGCAGTGTTTGGCGGACGAGGGCCCTAAACTGGATGCGGCGGAGTGTGGGGAGTTGGCAGGCGTTCTTGCGTGGTTTGGGCGGGCTTGCAAAATGTTACAGAACGAACTGCAGACAGGTTGAGTTTGGTTAGACTCAAAGGTTGACCTCAATAGGAAAAGGAAGCGCGGCCTGTTAAAAGATCGGGCGCTGGTCCCTATGTGATGGCGCAGCAGGAAATGGCAAGGAAAGGTGCGCGGGGAGGGCACGCTCGGTCGCACGGTGCTGCCGGCGGAAAGCGCTAATTACTCGGCGAGCCGTGCGGCAGGGAGTGGCTGGGGGGGTGTGCCAGCCAGCGTGACCACACTGACCTGCGCGACCGGGGTGCGAGGGGCCAGGCAGGTGCAGCCAGGCGGGCAGGCAGGCAGGTAGGCAGACCAGACCAAGCCAAGGGAAAAGGGAAGGGGAGAGGGCAGGGCAGGGTAGGGGTGACGGTTCGTGACGGAAAGTACGCACCTCGTTGTGTGACTTTTTTTTTTCTTTTTTGTCCTGGTCCTCTTTTTTGCAGTTGCTGGCCGGGCGTGTTGCTTTTCACGCGCGCCGTTGAGGAGATGGAGGTGGTGGTGGTGGATGGGTGTGTGGAGCGAGGGCAACAGTGTAGAATGGGTGGGCGCGTGTGGTTCTCGTGACCCTGCCTTTTCGCTGTGGGGGGGGGAGCTGGGCCGCGGTATGCCAGGCGCGGACACGCAGGGACAGAAAAGAGTGGTGCAGCGTCGAGGTGTTAGGTATAGCCCGCGAGCTGTCTTGAGAAGGAAAGGGACGAACGGGATTGGGAATGAAACGGCGGGAGTGGTCAAGTATTTCTCTGGACGGCTGCTTTGGCTGCTTTGGTGCGGGCAGGCCGTCAACTACCCACTGGCAACTGGGGGCGGATGCCGCTTGAGCGCGACCCTGGTCACTGCTCTGAATCGCAGATCGGAACAGGAATCGCAGTCCTGGTGGCGGGCTGGCTACAAACGCGACCAGCAGCGGCGCAGGCTTCCTGGTGTTGTAGTATCTATACCACCACCATCACGACAACGACCATCGTCGCCATGGCTGCCTCGACGAGTGTTTTTGTCGAGGAGCGGGCATCGGGCAGTACGGGCGTCTGGACCAGCTGGACCTGTCAGGTCGCTTTTGGAGATGAACAGCAACGGCCCTCCCACACAAAAACAGCGCCGCCCGTGAGGCCGAGGGCTGCGCTAGACGCCAGCTTGGGCACGGCCCGGGACTTGCAACGCCCGTCATTGGCTGCATCGGCGCGCTAGTCCCGCTCAAGTCAGATTGACGGTCAACTGGTGAATGTCGGTTGCCCACCCTCGGGTCGGCCTATACTTGCAAGACACTCACAGACACACGACGCACGGCTTACTCACCCAACTACGCTGCACTCGCTGGCTAGGGCGTGTATGAGAGAGAGTGTCGCTGTCAGGACTAAGTAAGTAGCAAAGGGCCCGTTGGCCTTGGATTTAGCATTAGCACCACGGCCGGCCTATGTACACTACTACTTATCCACGCCCATATGCATGCCACCTACCTACTGCTACCCAAGTGCCCCCCCTCCCGAATGGCCCATGGGCAGCCCTTGTGCATGCAGACCCATCCATCATCCATCGCCTCCCTAGACAACGACAGCTGCCACTGACTGCCACGGTGGCCGACACTTTGCTTGGTCCAGTCCAACGTCCCGCGGCGGCCCTGTGTTTGGACGGTGCAGGTGCTTGGTGGGCCCCCCCCGACTGGGAAGCCGCCGCCTGCATCGCTGGGCAAGCACCACCCTTAGCCTCCTTCCCCGTGCGGTCTCGTTTCGCCAGCTGCCCGGTCTAGCCTTCCTCGCCTGCTGAGCGCCTTCCCTCGCCCTTGCCCTCGCTGCACTGTTGGTGGCGCCTGCCGCCTGCACATTTCCCACCCGCCAGCCCTCCAACAAGCCATCCGTCGTCCACTTTATTTTACTTTGCTTTGCTTCACTCTTACTACTCACTTACCCACGTGACCTCCCCCATCACCACTGCCGCCCATCACCACTGCCGCCCATCACCATTCTCCATGTCCTCCATATACTTCATACATACGCAAACCCTCATGTCGCATCCCTCACCTCACTCTCTCCATAAGTCCTCTGCTTGCTCCACCTCCCCTTCAGTGGCCGCACCGACGTCGCAAGCGCCAAAACATCGAACCACAATGCCCGTTGTGGCGTCCTCATTGGCCCCACGCTCTTGCTTCCAACACTACTGAAACCTCACACGCATCGTCATGTCTGCAAACTGCAACACAACCCCTCGCAGAGCCTCTTAACGCTGAGCCCTTAACACCCCTAATGCCGTGACTTGGTCTTTTTTCTGTTTTGTGACGCCACTTTTTTGCTGCTTGCGTGTGCTTTGCTGGTCGTGCTCTCTTTCCCTTCTTCTCCTTCTCCTTCTTCCTCTTACATCTAATCTTCCTTTAACCCGTCACTCACTCACTCGCTCGACGCAGTGGTTACCCATCACCGAGTACGCCGGACGAACTCTGTTCCATTCTCTGTTCCTATTTTTTCTTCTTCTTTTTTTTTGTTACTTTTGAAGTCTCTGCCAACTTTCAAATCCACTCACTCTTAACCGTATCCAACCGCCAAGATGCCGACCAAGCTGATGATGACATTTGTGGGCATGGACTTGCTCTTTGCTGGCTGTGGAGGGTTGTTGCTGGGCTTCTCCCTCATCTCGGAGCAATCGATGCGTGCCAGTCCTACTGTCGATAATGTCACTAAGAACTTGCTGCTTGGACAGTGTCCCTTGACAGGTACGATGACGGCTCCTAGTGAACACCACTGTGACATTTTGATATACACAATCTATCAATCTTGAAACTATCACTACAACGACATGAACTAACAATGTATTCTAGCTGGTGTCGTCAACGCCATCTTCGTCTTCGTCACCTTCCTCCTCTCCCTCCCAGGTCTCTTCCTCCCCAACAACAGAGGCTGGCTCCGTATCCAAGGCTGGCTCGTCGTCGTCTGCGCTACCTTTACTCTCGGCCTCGGTGTCGCCATCTGGGTTGAGACTCTCGAGACGCGTAGGAACCTCAGTGCCCTCTGGGGAGGCGAGTCTCCTCTTATCCAGTCTCTGTTGCAGCAACGTGTAAGTTCTTCATTAGCCCCCCTACTTAATTGCAAAGGCATACAAGTGTTTTATCAAGTTTGACTAACGTCAAATAAGTTCGACTGCTGCGGCTACGTAAACTCAACCACCCCACCCTTCGTCCAAGACAGCACCTGCCAAAACACGCTCGTCGCCGCGCAAAAGGGCGGCTGCATCGGCAAATTCTCCTCTTTCGCAAACAAGTACCTCGATCAGATCTTCACCGCTGCCTTTGGTATCGTCGGTGTCGACGTCATTCTTGTCCTGTGCATTGCCATGGTGCTCAAGTACCGTATGGAGCAGGAGCGCTACAGGCACATTGATGAGAAGAATGGCTTTGGTGGATTGTAGGGTGGTAATGGTGAGAGTGGGGAAGTAGAAGGGGGTTGAGAAAGAGAAGCAGAGGGGTGATGGGGTGGGGGAAGAGAAGGAAGATGAAGCAGTGTGAGAAGGGTATCTGATCATTCCTTCTTATTCTTCTTTTTCCTTCTCACTCTTAACCCTTTCAGTCCTCCCTTTTTTTTCCCTTCTCTCTTCCTTCCAGATGTTGTAAATGGTGCTCAGCAAGTGGAGGACAAGAAGAAGAAAGTATTAATTAAAAAAAAAACAGTGTCTCAGCAGCGCTGAACAAAAAACTCTGGCGGTTTTAAGTATCATACTCTTCGTTTCTTTTCTTCGTCTTTTTTTCACAAAAAACGTCACTGGGTTGTCCTCTTTGTTCTTTTTTCTTTCTTTCCATATAGATATACTGGAAGCTACGTAGCGGATCCTCCTTTTTTTCAATGTACATAAAAGGCTGAGAATCAGAGTTTTGGTTTTTTTTATAATGTTTGCAATATGTGTGTCTTTTGATTGAAAAAGTGGGGTTTACTCTGGACACACCGAAATAGATGTGTATAATTGTTAATCTTTTTTTTATAAGCATAAAGGGAAGAAAAAAAGAGATATTGTACTCTCGTTTTTTTTCTCCTCCTCTTCTTTCTTTCTCTGCATTTATTCTTCTTCTTCTTTGCTAAGTAATGCGTACACACGAAAAAAAAATATCATGTCGCCCATTTTCATGCCATAATCTCTAGTAAATACTGAATCTTTATAAGTTTTCTTGTTCTCTTTTTCTCTCTCTCTCTCTCTCTCTCTCTCTCTCTCTCTCTCTCTCTCCCCAATTTCAGAACCTATATATTAACAAAAAAATTATTACATATTTTTAGATGCCACTTCGTAGAACGAGTTTTGCGGAGAAAAACATCAGAATATAGTATCATTCTATTTTCAAAAACGTTATATGTTTTTGCTTAAGAAAGTTTGGTGTAATGCTACTCATATGCGTTTGCAAGGAGAAAATCACGAAAGAAGAACGGAATATGATAGACTCCAGACCTTTTTTTTTTGCCGTCAATAACATCACCGTATTTTACAATGTTCGTCTCTCTCTCTCTCTCTCTCTTTATTTTTCTGAATAGTCTTGTTCATTTGCAATTCAAACAGATAAACTACCTATCAAACACCCACCAATAATACATACAAAACCACCCTCACACAAGCCATCCCCATTTCACACGTCACCGCCCAACCAAACCCCTTCAACATCTCTAGTCCAAAACGTCCGTCATTCTCACTTTCAAAACCCGGACAAGTCATCTCGGAGAGATGGTAGTAGTGTGTCACAAAAGTCCGCGTGTCGGTACCCGAACACTTCAGCCTCCTACCCTTGTCTCCAATATATCCCGGCCGCTCGCCGCACGCCTCGACGCCTCACCTCCCCCCCACACACGCACACACAGACATGCCGTTATTCCCTGGACGCGAAAAAAGAACCGTGCGTGTAGACCCAAGAAAGAAACCCAAGAAAAATTCACATGCTTGTATCTTATTACAGGGCTGTTAATCCAACGATAATAGCGGGGAGACGGGGGAGAGCATAATCAAATAGTTTTAAGGACAACAGGAATACAAAGTGGCATTATGGGACTTTCCCCACGTGATGGAAATTGGTGTCAATGCAAACAAGCGTGGTTTAGTTTTTTTTTCAGGGTACAACGGGAACTAAGCAACGCAAACCCCCCACCCACGACGATTGAACCAGCACTTAGCTTGCATGAACAAGGCCGCCGTCTCGCAACAAGCCCCATGCAGCGTGACAGGAGACAGGCGACGGGCGACAGGCGGACAGGACGAGCTTGAACATTTTTGGGAGGTGAGGACTAGAGGTGCATGTGCGAGGGCAAAGTGGGGTTTCATCTGCCCTGTCTTGCAGATATTGGCTGCCGTGGCTTGGACGCGACCAAGCGAAGGGGTCAAACGTTTGAAGAGATTCCTTTTCAGGCAGCGGTTGGAGCCTCGTCTCTCTTTCTAGACCGCCTTGGCAATTTCGCTCAAAGGAAATCACGGCTTGCGTGCATGAAATGAGCGTCGAAAATCGTTGCAACTTTTGATGAGGGTGGCTCGGGCGACGCGGGGATGTGCGACACGTACCTGCTCCTGCAGATCCCCCTGAGAGCGTTGCGTGGAACCCAACCATGCCAAGCACTGAGCCGACGACGGTGGGAATTGCTTCTGATTGAGGGGTGCAGGGGTTGCTGCCATCATGGCGCAACTTGTGTGAACGAGGTTTGATTGTTGGTCATGGCTGACGGCATGCTTTGGGAACGTGGGGTCTGGGAGTAGCATCCGAACATCGAGCTATGTTCAAGTCTGCGCAGCATCGACCAAGTCAAGATCAGACTCTTCATTCTGCTTGAAGATGCCGCGCGAGGGTGCAGATGGCGATGACTTGTGTGTCTTTTTGAAGAACTTGCTGAGCCGGAGCTGGCTGTCTTCCTCGTCATTCCCAAAAACGTCGTGAATCTTCTTGCCGCCTATTCGCGACGCATGTTCCAATCGTGCGCACATTCGCTCTACAGAGTTTTTGGTTTCTAGAATCGCAATGTCCACCACCGCGCCAGCTTCGACAATAGAATTGCCTAGAAGCTTGATCTGCTGCGCAAGTGCATCGATCTGCTCGTTAAACTGCCTAACCTCTGATGAAGCCGGCACTGGAGCTTGAATTGGGGAAGAGCCTGCTTCGGACGGTGCTGAACTTGACAACGGCTGGTACGGCACAGCCAGGAGCCCTGGTCCAATGGCGATATCGAGAAGGGCCAGCCGGGCGGCGAGGCGGCCATAGTCAGTACTCTTATTTATGAAGAAGTCGGGTGAATTTGCAACGTGGTCAAGTACAAGGTTATGTGCCGTATGATCTGCAAGAGACGTGCTGACTGGTGTTGGGTAAAGCAGGAACGAGAGAGCCAGATGGCGCTGGAGGTATGCGGTCAATGGGCACTTTGCTGGAAGGGCGCAGGTCAAGTTTCTCTGTAATACAGGATGGGTGATTTTGGTTAGTAGCTGGGGCATGATTGTGTTGAGCTGGGAGGCGATTAGAAAGGGTACATCGTCTTGTGGAGGAGGGCCTCCTACGCCTGATATTAGCTTGTTGTTGTCGGTGAAATTGCAAATAATGGCTTCCATGGAGTCTTGTACAGCATACAGAACGTCAAAGTCTGCGGTAACACGGGTATCCAAGCATACGTGACATAGTAGATATAATGCATGGCTGCGAGTGGCTGTTTTCAACCTGTGGATGTCAACGACGGTGTTTTTTGTCAGAATCTCTTGTGCTTACCATGGCGCGGCTCGAGTAAGCAGTCTAGTGATTGGTTTCAAAAATGGCGGAATAAACGTTTTGATTTCAGATTGCGAGACAGATTGCGGAAGCAGCTGAGTATTCGACTCGAGTTGTGTGATGTTGGTGCCTATGCTTTTGAATATAGCGTCGAGTCTTTGTGAGTCGAGCAGGTCATGGAGATGGGCATGGTGAGCCTGGTGAATGTTAGAAGTTGTTTTGCATTGAACATGGGTGAGACGCCACCTCGAGGATTTCAAGGTACTTGCAATTAAGCGCCTCATTTTGGTTATAGCAAACTGCAAGGATTAATAGAGGAAAAGTAATAATGAGGCGGTGCGCGTACTTTGATCAATCATCCATGAGGCCAACTCTTTGGGAAGCTCTTGGATACGGAACACGTGCTGTGCAAAGCCGGTCATGAATGCCTGGTCTCTGGTGTCGGGCCGCTGGAAGTTTGAAGCCCAGCGATGCTGGGGAAGGACATTGATGGGAAACTTGGTCTGCATAGGGATCGTGTCTACGTCATGTTCAAAAAAGTAAAAGACGGTTTCCATTTGCGTAGCGTTTGTTCTTTGCATGGCTTGGAGGAGCCGATGGGCTTTGTGCGGGTCATCATCGTCATCTTGCACGGCCTGACCGAGTGTTTCCTCGTTGATGGTGATTCGCATAGTCACTGGCTCTTCCACAGCCTTGTTGAGCACGGCTTTGTGCTCCTGGATCTTGCGCTCAGTCTCGAGATTCTTCTGGGCCGTCTGTACTAGGGTGTCGAACTTTTTCTTATCGTCCCTGGCCTTCTTGGTGGGTATGCGTAGTCCGTCTTCATCGTTGTCGGAGGTGCGCTTGTATCGGGTGGTGATTGTGGCCGTCTTTGGGGGGTTGGGCTTTGGGGCAGTGACGCCAAAGTCGAGATCGGGGAGGGAGTCATCATCGGAGTCTGAATTGAGCACGACCTCTGTGCCATTGGAGGTAATGCGCCTGCTGGTGGTGGGTGGGACTGGCGCTGTCTGCAATGGTGCGGGGGGGTGTATATTTGTTTGCGGCGGGGCAGGGGAGAAGAAGTCACGGATGCTTCTCTTGTGCGGCTTCATGACTTCATGGCTTGTGGGGTTATATGTGGTGGCTGGTGGTGTATGGCTTCATGGCGGGGTGCAGTCGAGAGGCGGCGTCACGCGTCTGGCGGGCAGCAAGGTCTGGCACGGTATCACGTGATGAATCTTACTAAGAAAAGAAAGTATACCACGATAGACGTCGGGGGCGGTGGGCGCTTTCGACCGAGCCCGAGATACTAACCCGATGTGGGCATTGACGACATAGAGTGGCCGGGCTGGCGCCTCAGCCGGCATCCGTGCCAGTATGCTCGCTGTTTGGCGCACACATGGTTTGGCAGCTAACGTCGCAGGCTGTCTGTGTTCCGGGTGGGTGGGCTGGGCTGGGGCTGAAAACAAGGCTGTTTGGAGGGGTTTGGCTGATTACGGGATGCTACAGAGGGAGTGTGTGTATGTGCTATTTGTGGAGCGGTGCAACGGCGAGGGTGATGGCATGGAGCATAGCAACGAGGGCAGAGCAGCAGCACAGACGGACTCGGACCCGACCATCTCCCGCCTCATCCAGATGCAGAGCCTCGAGTGGAGTCGGGGAACAGAAGGGACAAATAAAGGGCGAAAAATGACGCGCGACGAGGTGGCTGTCCCCGTCAGCCAACCAGGCCGGTGCTGACTGAGACGGCGCATGCTGATGGCATGGCTGACTTTTGGTCCACGGATCTCTGCGTCTGTATGGTGCATGTCAATATTGCACATTGATAATGCAGATTCCGCACAGCCGTGGGCTTACTAGAAACCATGTCGGCGGCGTGTACTAAGTTAAGTACAGATGCGACAAATCCTATTCTGGCCATCTGGCAAAGACGGGCCACGCGTCACCAAATGCCATGGCCTGCCGCCCGTCGTCGGTACGCGTGCTTCGGACGGTCAGGTCGCAGGGCGGACCTCCGGAAACAAGAGGTGACCTAGCGCCGCAGCATCTTGGGCGAGCCCGTAGCGGCCGGCCGAGCAAAAAGAGGATGAGGCGTGTGCTTTGCCTGCCTACCCGCATCGCTGCCAGTGCCAGTGCCAGTGGAGCTGCTGTCGCTGGTGCTGAAGTAGTATGTAAGCAATCAGCAAAGCAAAAGCCCAAAGCAAAGGACACACCCGCCAGGACAAGCCAAGCCAGCGCAAAGCAACGCACCCCGTCAAGGGTCTGGCAAAGCAACAATAACGTACTTGCGCCCTCTGCCCCCGTTTCCCCTCCTGCTTGCTTGCTTGCTTGCTTGCCCTGCGTCTTACCAGTCGCTGCCATCATCGTCGCCGTCACCGTCGTCGCCATTGCACCGTATTGAATCATTCCCATTGCGGCACAGCCGCATAATCGCTCTCCGGCTGCGCGCCGCGCCCAGCCTAAACTACCGTTTGGTCTTGTAACCGCTGTTTCTCGTCCGCCGGCTTCTAATATCCGCGCCGTCAACCACCCATCTGTTCTCACCCTCCGCCACAACAACAACAACCACTACACCTACCACAACCACCCGATCGCCCTCGCCCTCCCCGCCACCACATGTACTGAACCTATCGTCACGCCCACCTCCCGTGCACAGCTCGAATTGGCTTGCACCACCGCGTAGAGCCTTTCTGGCTCAGGCTGCCGCCTCCCCTGCCGTTCCGCAGCTCCCCCGACGACAATCACCATGACGCTGCAAAACGAGCCCGACGAGACAGAGGTCTCGCACCCCCAGAAGCGCATCCGATGTGAGTCGCCTGCCTGCTCTTGAACCCGCTGCTTACCGCCTGCCTGCCTGCGACTTGTGCTGACACTGCTTGTAGGGGCCACACATCGCGCGACGGGCACAAAAGCCGCCATCAAGCGAAACTCTCTCAAGGAACGCCTGCACCGGCGCATAGGCTCGGGAGGAGAGAAGCGATATTCGCTCGGCAAGGAAGACGGTTCCCAGCACGGCGACCAGTCGGTCGAGGGTTCAGATGATGTCGAGCCCGAAGTGGACGAGAACGAAGGAGGTCGCAAAGTCTACTTCAACGTACCCTTGCCCCAGAGTGCGCGCGACGAAGAAGGCCACCCCCTCGAATCGTACGCTCGCAACAAGATAAGAACCGCCAAATACACGCCTCTCAGTTTCATACCAAAGAATCTGTGGTTCCAGTTCCACAACATTGCCAATGTCTACTTCTTGTTCATCATCATTCTCGGTGTATGTTTTTGCCCGCCCGCCCCTTCCGCCCCTTCCGCCCACCCATCTCTCCCCCAAAACTGACTCCAACCCCTTTAGATCTTCTCCATTTTCGGTGCCTCGAACCCGGCACTTAACGCAGTGCCCCTCATTGTCATTCTCGTCGTAACTGCCATCAAGGATGCCGTTGAGGATTGGCGGAGAACCGTCCTCGACATGGAGCTGAACAACGCTCCGGTCCACCGACTTGTCGACTTTAACAATGTTAACACGGCCGAAGACTCGATATCGCTATGGCGCAGGATCAAGAAGGCGACATCAAAGAGCATAGTCACAACCTGGCGGCTTCTCAAGGGTGTTAAAGGTGGAAAGGGAAAGCAGGGCAGCGATAGGGCCGTCGACGTTACCCGGCCTTCAGTCGACACTCGGCGAGCCTCGGTCATGTCGCATACTGAATCATACCTAGGAAACGAAGGCGACATTCAGATGACACCAGTCCCTTCACCTCTGCCTGGACAGTCCCCTACCCAGTCCCCATCCTGGCCGCTAGGACCCGGAGAGAACGACAAGATTCGCGGCGCTGACTCGAAACCCGAGATCACCCAGAAGTTTTGGGGAAGCGTCTTGAATCCTTACAAGTCTGTCCCCGATAAAGCCCGCTTCAAGAAGGACGCGTGGAAGAACGTCCAGGTTGGCGACTTTGTGCGTCTATACAACAACGAAGAAATCCCCGCCGACGTCATTGTCCTTTCCACATCTTCCGAGGATGGCGCCTGTTATGTCGAAACTAAGAATCTGGACGGCGAAACGAACCTCAAGGTCCGCAGCGCACTGCACTGTACCCGTGATGTACGACACGCTCGACACTGCGAACGCGCCGAATTCGTCATTGAGAGCGAAGGCCCCCACTCGAACCTCTATTCGTACAGCGCAGCCATCCGGTGGCAGCAACACAACACAAAGGACCCCGAGGCGCAACCCTATGAAATGGTCGAGCCTATTTCCATCAACAATCTGGTCCTCCGTGGATGTCAATTGCGAAACACTGAGTGGATTCTGGGAGTAGTCATCTTCACTGGTGACGAGAGCAAGATCATGATCAACTCTGGAATCACACCTAGCAAGCGAGCCCGCATCTCAAAAGAACTTAATTGGAACGTCGTGTACAACTTCTTCATCTTGGCCGCCATGTGTCTGGTGTCTGGAATTGTGCTGGGAGTTTCGTGGGCTCGAAATGACACTTCGCACTCCGTCTTCGAGTATGGCTCATACGGAGGCGCCCCTGCCACTGACGGTGTCATCGCCTTCTGGGCTGGTGTGATTCTCTTCCAAAACTTGGTCCCTATTTCACTCTACATTACGTTGGAAATCATCCGAACACTCCAGGCCCTCTTCATCTACAGCGACATCAACATGTATTACGAAAAGCTCGACTACCCGTGTACCCCGAAGTCCTGGAACATCTCCGATGATGTTGGTCAAATCGAATACATTTTCTCGGACAAGACCGGAACTCTTACTCAGAACGTCATGGAGTTCAAGAAGGCAACCATCAACGGTGTTCCCTATGGAGAAGCATACACCGAAGCCCAAGCCGGAATGCAGCGAAGACAAGGCATCAACGTCGAGGTTGAAGGTGCAAAGGCCCGTGATCAGATCGCAAGGGATCGTGCACGTATGCTCGAGGGCATCCGGAAGATGCACGATAATCCTTATCTGTGGGACGACGACCTGACTTTTGTTGCGCCCGACTTCATCGATGACCTACGCGGAGATGCCGGAATGGAACAGAAGCGGGCCAATGAGGAGTTCATGCTTGCTTTGGCTCTTTGCCACACTGTTGTTACCGAACGCACCCCCGGCGACCCACCCAAGATCGAGTTCAAGGCCCAATCACCCGATGAAGCTGCACTTGTTGCTACAGCTCGTGATGTTGGATTCACATTTGTCGGCCGCGAAGACGACAACCTAATTTTGAACATCTTAGGACAAGAGCGCAGGTACCAGGTTCTCAACACTCTCGAATTCAACTCCAGCAGGAAGCGCATGAGCGCAATCATCAGGATGCCCGATGGCAAGATCATCCTCTTCTGCAAGGGTGCTGACAGCATGATTTACTCAAGATTGATCCCCAATGAGCAAAGACAGCTTCGCGCCGATACTGGAGAGCACCTGGAAATGTTTGCACGAGAGGGACTGCGAACACTTTGTATTGCTCAGAGAGAAATCTCTGAAGAGGAGTACCAAGAGTGGAGCAAGGACTACGATGTTGCTGCCAACGCCATCCAGGGACGTGAGGACAAGTTGGAAGAAGTGTCTGATCGCATCGAAAATAACCTTTGGCTACTAGGAGGAACCGCCATTGAGGATCGACTTCAGGACGGTGTACCAGAGTCCATCTCGCTTCTCGGTCAGGCAGGTATCAAGCTCTGGGTCCTGACTGGTGACAAGGTAGAGACGGCCATCAACATTGGTTTCTCGTGCAACCTGCTCGACAACGACATGGATCTCATTATTCTCAAGGTCACAGATGATACCATTGCATCCGTGGAAGCTCAGCTCGACGAAAAACTCAAAATCTTTGGTCTCGAGGGTTCCGAGGAGGAGCTGGCTGCCGCTCAAAATGACCACGAACCACCTCCACCCACGCATGCCATTATCATCGATGGAGACACACTCAAGCTGGCTTTGGACGAGTCTGTCAAGAGAAAGTTCCTCTTGCTCTGCAGGAGATGTCGATCTGTCCTGTGCTGCAGAGTCAGTCCCAGTCAAAAGGCAGCTGTTGTCAACATGGTCAAGACCGGACTTGACTGCCTTACCCTTGCCATTGGAGACGGTGCCAACGATGTTGCCATGATTCAAGAGGCACATGTTGGTGTCGGTATCGCCGGTGTTGAGGGTCGCGCGGCTGTCATGTCTTCGGATTACGCGATTGGTCAATTCCGCTTCTTGACTCGCCTGGTGCTTGTTCATGGCAGATGGTCGTACCGCAGACTTGCGGAGACCATTGCCAACTTTTTCTACAAAGTGAGCCATTTTTCATAATTGCCAACTTGTTTATACTAATATGCAATAGAACATTGTTTGGACCTTTGCCCTCTTCTGGTACCAGATTTACACCAACTTTGACAGCCAGTATATTTTCGACTACACATACATCATCTTCTTCAACTTGGCGTTTACGTCACTCCCTGTTATTGTCATGGGTGTTTTGGACCAGGATGTCGATGACAAGGTGTCTCTGGCTGTTCCACAACTATATCGCCGCGGTATTGAGCGCAAGGAGTGGACGCAACCAAAGTTTTGGTACGTGTGATGCTCCAGAATTACTTGAAAATTTCTAACATATTTGTAGGGCGTACATGGTTGATGGTATCTATCAATCTGCCATTGCTTTCTTCTTCCTCTATGAGATATTCGAGCCCGCAACTTTTGCGACCTCGAACGGCTTGGACATTGCCGAGTACCGACGCATGGGTATCTATGCCGCTACTACTGCCGTCTGTGCCGCCAACATTTACGTTCTGTACAACACTTACCGATGGGATTGGTTAATGGTCCTCATCGTCATCATCAGTACCCTCTTCATCTGGCTCTGGACTGGCGCCTACACCTCCTTTACTTCCAGTCAACAGTTCTACAAGGCCGGAGCCGAAGTCTACGGAAACCTCAATTTCTGGGCATACGTTCTGTGTGCTACCATGGCTTGTTTGCTTCCCCGTTTCATCTTCAAAGCCACGCAGAAGATGTACTTTCCGTTGGATGCCGACATTATTCGAGAGCAAGTCAAGCAAGGCAAATTTGACTATCTTAAAGAATCCACTTCATTCATTCCTCCACCGCCAGAGAAGTTTGCTTCTTCACCAGATTCGAGCATCCCAGAAGCCGATGCTTCCAAGTATACGGCTGCAAACGCTACTCCTACTGACGAAGATGTACGACCAATATACCCCCCTTCGGTTGCGCCCACAGCCACGACGCATAACCCGAGAAGCCAAAATGGAAGCAATAGCACCGACTATACCTTCCGTCGCTCCATGGAAGGCCTCCCACCAGCACCCACTTCAGACGCTCCTCCCATCAACACCCGCATGTCGACTGAATGTCGTGTGCGACCGAGCTACGACCGTGCGCGCATGTCGATGGACCGTGTTCGCCCTAGTTTCGAGCAGAGCAACGATTTTACGTCAGCAGCTATGCTGACGCGACTCGAGTCGTCGCATAGCCGAAACAGCATCCAGGGCAACCGGGCCAGCTACCAGGTCGCAGATGGTGCCAACGCACAACCGGCCGTCATGAGCCGGTTACGCAACGCCATACGAAGAGCAACGATTACGCGCGAAGAGCTGCCCGAGCATCTCCGACAACATCAGCAACAACAATCAAACGGCGAGGATGTACCAGACGTACCGCCGGTACCCAAATCGCCAGTGCCTAAGTCGCCTCCTGCGAGCCCGCCCAGGTAGTCCCTGTGGCGGTTGGTTGTTTTGAAACGAAAACCGCGCACGCGGGAGGGGGGTTTGGGTTAGGACTAATAAAATGTTAATGTTTTGTGCTTGGCTTCTTTGAAAAGGGTCTTTTTTTGAACAGACAAGAAGAAAGAAAGAAATTAAAGCGATACAAAGGGAAATGAATGAATTGCATAGCGTTGCGGGGGGAGGGGAAACCTTGCCAGTCTTTTTTTTTTTTTCAAACTTCTGTTTTTTGATTTTTCGTTTCCCCCTCCCCCTCACCCAGTCTCCCATTCTTGTTTTGAGAATTTTTATTATTTTTGCTCTACCGTTTTGTCCTTTTATCTTTTTGTCCCTCCTTTTTTCCATCACCTGCCCTTCCTATCTGTTTCGCGCACTCGTATACCTTTTGTTTTTATTTTACCATTCGTTGCCACTTTTTTTATTGATGAAAGGAACTCTCATCCTACGACTCTGGTGTTATTTTCCTTTTGTGTAAATACATCCACTTCTCTTTTTTTTCTGCTTCTGTTTTTTTTGGATGGGTCCTTGGATTTACTCTGAATCCCCTTGGGTTCTCGACCCTTCTTCGTTAAAAGGAGGGATGGGTTGATATGGGAATGTCGTACGTGGCGATGAAAGAGGAAGGGGAAGGGACACGGTGAGAATGCGATATGAAGGGGTGGTTAGTCGTATATATACATATACACATATATTGGATTTTAGTACCCATGGAAATACCAGAGTCTGTCATTTGAATGGTTTTGTTGAAGACTGAGGTGATGATGTGTCTTTGTTGTATGTTTATTGCGGGTATCTGTGAGGAGCGTTACTACTTTGTGTACAGCGCCAGTGTATACGCATGACGAGAGAGTGAAACAGTTTCTTCCAACTCTTGATCACAGTATCATCTTCGTCTCACTTCTCACCTACACATCCAACGTTTCGAGATCAATCTCACTCTACCTCTAACCTCAACGCATCATATTGCACATACACCGCCTCAGGCAACACCGCACTCTCATTCCCCGTCGCATTATACGGCAGTGCCAACACAATCTCATTCTCCCCTTCCTTCAGTAAATCCCCCGAAAACACGAATTTGTGCGCCAAATGATAGCACGAGACTGCCGAACGCACAGCGCAGGATGAAGACTGGTAGTACCTGTATCCCACAATATTAGCTTTTACTTCCTCTTACACCGACAACCACACCATCTTCATTATCGATCTTGGAGTGGGGGAAAAGAAAAAGAAAAAGGGGGGGGGAGGGGGATAACATACGGAATAACCCAATCCTCCAGCACCTCCCCATTCACCATCACCCTAAGCGGAAGATTCGCCCATCTCTCCCCAGTATCTAGATCCGTATTCCCCGCCGCCGTCTTCGCACCCGCCAGTTGCACCGTGAACGTTGCTTTTCCGCTCTCCTTCACATCGCCCTCTTCTACATCAAACCGTATACTCCAATCGTACACGTGATCCGGCACAGGTACCGGTCGCAGGCTATTCGCTTTACCGCCGAACACAGCCCAGTGGACGTAATTGAGCGCTTGGGCTGGATCGTCTTTGCCGACGCGAAAGTGGATGCCGGTGGGGAAATCGCGGATGAAATCGTATGCCGCCCAGTAGAGTCTGTATTCTTCTGTGAGGAGGGGGTGGGTAGGAGAGGGTGCGGTGCCGTGGAGGAATTCGCCCGAGGATTTATCGGGAGTGCCGATGCGGAAGAGTTCTTTGCCTGCGGATTCTGGCGTCCAGGTTATGTTTAAGGAGGTGGTTTGGGAAGCGGAGATGAGGAGGGAGTCGTGGGTGTAGTCGCCGAAGATGGAGGAGGCGGAGAGGGTTAGGCGGTAGGATCCTGGTTTTACCCGGGGAATGGAAATGGTGCCGGTAGAGGGGATGGGCGTCCAGTATTGGTATGCGGTGCTGTTTGCGGCGTTGTCTTGGTAGTTGTGACCGGTGGTGGTGAGGATAGCGATGGGGTTTTGGGCGCCGGTGGGGAGAGCGATGTTTGCTGAGAAAGTACCGCGGGCAGATGAAGTAATGAGATTCGGGACGTGGGCGGCGATGGAGTCGTAGAAGGGGGCGTTCCAATCTGGACGCTGACCGTACTGTTCTGCATCTTTACGCAGTTCAGATAGCGTGCCGCCGGTGTTGAAGTGGAAGTATTGCGGGCCGAATGTGCGGTCGAAGCCGTTGGTTATGTTGGGGGTTTGGGCGCCGTGATGGTTGGAGACCATGTAGTTGTAGACAATTCCGTCGACGACGAGATCTGAGTGTGTGGGACCGCCGAAGTAGGTTTCGACAGTGTTGTGGACGAGCCAGGCGCCGTAGGTGGTGCCGTTTGTGGTGCGGCCATCGGCGTACATGCCGTGGGCGAGGTGGTTGCGCCAGCTATCTTGGAAGGTGTACTTGGTGAAGTAGTCTCCTACACCCTTTACGTATGGGTCATCTTTGTTGACGAGCTGCCAGGTGGCGTCTTGAACGACTACTTGTCCGTTTTGATCTGGACGTGGTGCGGAAAACTTGTCGTTGGTGATGAAGTGGGTGAAAAGTGGAGGGTCATGGTTGGGTCTGAATAGAGTCCGGAACTCCTGCAGGTTCCGCAGAAATGGCGTAGTCTCGTTGTGGTATACTATTCGGCTGAACGTGTGGAGTCCCGTCTCGCCTTCTCTCAGGAACCAGTATTGCTCAAGCCGTTGACCGGTAGGCGCATAGGTTTCTCCCATGCTAATACCGCCATATGGAGTGCCTGTCGAGTCGGTGCCGTTGAATAGTTGATAATGAACATCCTTACCACGACCAGGCGTCCAGAAGCCACTTGGAGTACTGTTTGAAGTGGAATGGTCAGCTCATCATATCTGTGCTCTTCGAGTATGATTTTCACCAACCAGTAGCAATCAAGATAAGGTCCAACACCAGTGTTACCAGATTCCGTTCCAAGAAGGTTTTGGCCGTCAAGTGTCAAAACATTGATATACCCTTTGGATTTGCTAACCGATGCAACCAGCCGGTTGTTAGCAATAGTGAGACTCTGATTGTTTTGACTGGCTTTCAGAAAGGCCCATGTATTGGTACAGAATAGAAGCGTCGCTGTGACCGTAATGGCACGCATGATGAATGCTTAGCGATGCGACAAAGACGTCTTGGCTCGATGGTGTTCTTATTTCCATTGTTTATAACCAAACATCCGGGAAAATTAATATAGAATGACGGGTGGACTAGTCGGAATCTAGGGTAAAGGAGGAGTCCGGGATACGGATAAATACGCTAGTCGGGCCTTCGGTGGGATGTAGGCCGAAAATGGCCACCATTGAAGTTCTTCTACTTGCGTACGGGACAAGTGGTGAACTAGTTCTTGACTAGGCAATGTGGGGCTGGAGATGTAAACTATGTTCCCAGGATGTTACCTGAGAACCTAGACATGCTTTGCGAGAGCCCCGGTAGTGCGTACTTTGCCAGAGGCTTTCGCACGTCACAGTGTGTTAAATTACACAGCATCACCCCAGTCTCTCTCAATATACTACGTTTGGATGTTTCGAAAGAGATTACAAATTTCATCAGATTGTTATACGCTCTAGTGTAGAATCTGAAATTTGAATCATCTGTCAACAGGCCCATATGCTAATGAGGTACAAAACGAAAACAATACTAGCGGTACATCGACTGTGCACCAATCCATCATGTCTCTCGATCTAGCGACTGCGCCAGAATCATAGCATAGCACCGACCTCTCCTCGCAACAAGCTCCCCATGGGTCCCCTGCTCATCTACCCGCCCATTGTGCATTACCAAGGTACAGCCACACCGTTTGGTTGTCGACAATCGATGCGCAACTGCAACACATTCGTCAATCATTGTCAAGTCACACCATATACTGTGCGAATTGAGATGATTCCGAGTCTGCTAGTTTTGGCAGAGTGAGGAAGTTCGAGTCATCAATACCACTACAGGACTGGTTATCAGGATAGAGTGTGAATGATCTTGTCCGCGGCATGGCGTGCTGGAATCGGGAATCAGCAATTGGCAATTTGAGTTTCAGACCAGCAAAGACATGGATCCTCAACAACTCAAGACAATACATCCTCAATTCATTCAGCAGTGATATGCGAATGTTCAGTGGTGGAGATATCATAACCCAAATGTAGTACAGAATGGATCGGTCCAATGAAATCGTGGCTTGGTACGTCATCATCCGGCGCTAGATCGCCATATCTCTCACGTGGCAGCAACACACCGTAAGCTGCGTCTTGACTCTGGACACGCCAGAAGACCTTCATTCTCTTTTTTTTACCCATGGAAATATGAGCTCCTCCCAAGCTGAGAGAGAGCCGTTGCTCTCCCAAGCACCGGCCAAAGTCATAACATTCGAACCTAACGATCCCGAAGACCCGCGCAACTGGCCTGCAGCGCGAAAATGGCTTATGGTTGCCGCGATAATACCTATAGATCTCAGTGTCTCTTGGGGCGCCAGTGGATTCAGTCCCGTCGCGAGTGATTTTGCAAAAGATATGGAGGTGTCTCCCAGCGTCGCATTGCTAGGGCTGAGCATGTACGTGCTTGGACTAGCTTTTGGACCTATGACTCTAGCACCACTCTCAGAGTACTACGGACGCAGACCTGTATACATCGTGTCTTACGGAATATTCCTACTCATGCTTCTGGGAACGACATATGTTGAGACTCTCGAACCTTTCCTTGTCTTGAGATTCTTCTCTGGCTATTTCTCTTCAACAACGATCTCAAATTTCGGCGGAACCATTGCAGATCTCTTCCATCACAACGACACGGGCCCAGCAATGTCCTGGTTTCTCTGGGCAGCCACGGGAGGAAGTCCAACTGGATTTGTGCTCTTTTCTTTCATTGCACAGGGCAGATCATGGCACGATGTGTTTCGGATCATGCTGGCCATCTGCTTCGCGTTTTGGATTATCCTGGTTGTAACTCTGAACTTTTTGGGAGAGACAAGACACAGTGTGATATTGCTAAGAAGGGCGAGAGCGCTGCGCAAAGCAACAGGAGACGATAGCCTAGAGGTACCAGATGCGCTGAAGCAACGAGGACCGAAACAACTGTTCGGCACCGCACTTGCGAGACCATTCCGATTTCTCGGTACTGAAGCCATCGTTCAGTTTGGTGCTCTCTACAATGGCTTTTTATACGGACTTTCATTCCTGTTCAACGGCGCTTTTCATATGATCTTCGGACCAAGTGGCTATGGATTTGACACTATTGGCGTTGGCATCTGCTTTCTTGGGATAGTTGTGGGCATAACGGTCGGCCTCATGACAAACATATTTCAAGAAAGATACTACCAATGGCGTGTCGCTCAAGCCAACGGTCATGATGTCCCAGAAGCACGGGTGCGTTATGCAAAACTGGCCGCTACAGTGCTGCCGATATCCCTTTTGGCTTTTGCATTCACAGCTACACCGCACATCCCCCCGCTATTTGCAGTATTTGCAAGTGCCTTCTGGGGATGGTCCTTCTATACTCTTAGTAAGTTTCTGTCTGTGATTAAAAATGCCCTGATCTCACAATTCATGTGTAGTACTCATGACCCTCACATACACTGAGGATGCTTACAAAACATACTCGGCATCAGCACTTGCTGGGATCGGACTCATCCGAAACCTGGCTGGGGCTGGGTTTCCACTTGTCGGCAGACATCTTTTTCTGAACATCGGCACTAGAAATGCAAGCTTAGTACTGATGGCCATCGCTATCTGCTTAGCGCCTATACCATTCGTACTCGAGGTGCGAGGAGCATCGCTACGCAAGAGAAGCCCCTGGGCAGCTGCGCACGAGGATGAAAATGAAGACGACTAAGATTCAACACCAGACGCCCTGAGCCTTCTGATGTCTAGCCGATTTCAGTTTCGTGCTTCATCTCCCAGAACACAATTGTCGCAGAATGGCAAGGACTTTGAAAGCTGCAAAGAAGATGGCCTGATCTAGGCAGTGGTATCTCAGTTTCAATTCATCAATTGTACGCATGTATCTTGAGTAAAAGCATCCACTTTACCAATGCAGCATGGTGTCATCTATTTAGGCCCGCAACGTGGGCGCCGTTACTCCCGGTCTTGCCGCGCCAACGAGGCCCCAAGATATTATTCTTGTCCAACAGCCTCGCGAGATGTGTGTTTGGTACCTGAAAGCCGCCTGTCATTACTCGGGTCAAGCGCATGGGCCTTTGTTTTGGTGGAGTGTATGGCACGTGACCTGTCTCTACCGCGCTATACTTACACCTTATTGGACTGGACAAAGCATGAAGACAACAAGTACTCGCATAATAATGTTTCAAGCACGACAGAACAGGTTGTTTCGGACGGGGCCGAGCATTTAGCGCGTAGTCCCGTCGAGCGTTACTGGCCAACCAACGTTGTCCCACAGCCGAGCTGCGGGCGCGTAACGCTAGGTCTCGCGCTGGCCCATCTACCCGCCTATCCACCCGCCAAATCCTGCCAGGATATTCTTAGAATCCGTTCTGTACATATGAACGAGGCTCTGCGCTCAACAATGGCATCATCCAACAGCCTCAAGATTCTCTTTCCTTCTGTCATTCCATTAGGTTCTTTTCTTATCATTCTGAGTGTGTTCTGCGAACAACTCATCATATCATTTCTTTGAAAAACTCGCATTCTTTCTTTCGTCAAATCTCAGCATTGCATCGGCGCCAAATTCTCATCTCATTTGAACGATCTCTATATTTTCTCTTTGAAAAGTTCGCTCGATCACACGCAAGCCGTGTTTAATCGAACCACCGTATACCAGGTCTCAATCCGATACACTACAATTCGAACGACTTCGATAGTCCACTTCACATCTTATTCATCACAAAAAAATATACAAAGTCGCAAAGATGTCTTGCCAACCTCTCAGCTCGGTTCCTCCACCACCCACCACCCTGCCCTCCTGCGCAGTACCCATCGGCGGCTCAAACAGCTCAATCCTGGATGCCTGCTGCAACGGCCACATCAACGCCATTGCCACATATTCAGCCCCAGAAACCACCTCATTAACACCCCGCGATTCAAAAACACCTGTAATTGTCAACTCGGAGGACGGCGATGATTGCTTCCAGTACTGCATCACCGACTCCCCAGACATTGTCGAGACCTGTCTTGCAGAGAAGATGCAAGCTTTCGATAAGGAGGGCGCTACCGGTGTTGGCATGTTTGGGTGCTTCAATGCTGAAAAGGCGGTTGGTCCGAGGAAGACCAACGGTGGCAATGAAGGGTCGTACGTGAACGCTGGGCTGAAGATTAGCGGGAGCTGGACACTATCTCTCCTGGTCGGGTTGAGCGTTGTTGGTGCGCTTATTTGAGAAGTTTCTGTTATCACTACGGGATTGTAGTGAAGAGCGTCGTTTTCTTTTCTTCTTTTGCATATCAAATGGTTAGCGTTAGCGATGGCATCGCGTACTCGGATTTTGCATTCATCGGCGTTGGTATTGAATTACAATGAGTAATGAGACAACTCAAATCAAAGGGCGGTAACTATCTAGTTTGACACTAGAAGAACGAATCCAATACATCTGAAGCTGAATTCACTCGTGTCCTGGTTATGTTCTAGTTGCATTGTGGAACCACCTCAGTACCGCGCAGCTTACCATGCCCGACTGTGAGTTCACACAGTGGTTGCCGAGATGCTATATTATCATGCGTGGAAAAGATTCCAACCAAAAACTAGGCCTATCAATCGGACCTGAATACGAACATCAATGGCAGATAAACCAATATATGTACGCTACAGTCACCCAGCAATGGCGCATCCAAGGCCTACGCGTAGACTCCCTACCGTAATGTTCGATTCTTTTGAAGCACAAGGAAAGCAAGGCTCACCCCTTGGCTTGTTCTTGCAGAGGCAGCAGCAGTTGCAGGAGGAAATGAATCGTGAGGGACCATGGGGGCTTCGCCCCGCTTTCTTGCCAACGAGCTATGCGAACAGCAACGCCCCTCCACCAACTGTCAATCAGGAGAGTATCGGAGGTTATCTAAGAAAGAAGGCAATGATAGCATATGCGCAAGGTACCGCTCGCGCTCGTGGGCAATCTTCATATTTTGCACAGCTGGCGTCGCTTGAAGCGGGGTTGAGTCGGCTGACGCTGGAGGATAAGAGGAATTGAGGGCGTCAAATATCATAGTAGATACAGATACAATATCCAGACCTGCTAGATGTGTTCTATCACATATAAAAATACACTTTACTTTGCTTTGTAAAAACTGTATTTGAAGATTGGTGACTGAAAGTGAAATGTGATGGTTCCCCGCAGTAACTAGCGCTTAGTAGCGCAGACCCCTGCCCGCCGATGCAGGAGCGTCATATCTTTTTTCTGGACGCGCGAACAGTCACAACACAACTACACAAACTTTTCACTTTTCTCATACACAAAATGGCTTCAGAAAAGAAGGTAGCAGAGAACATGCTCTGGGGTGGCCGTTTCACAGGTACGTGTTGTCCAATGACTCGAATGGCTTATACGAACTCGTTTGGCATGACTTGATAATACTGAGACGTGCACAGAGGGCCTTGACCCCGTCATGGAGCAGTACAACGCTTCGCTGCCCTACGACCGCCTCTTCTACGCCGAAGATATTGCTGGCTCTATTGCATTCGCCCGAGCCAACAAGAACAATGGCATCCTCACCGAAGACGAGTTCGCTGCCATTGAGAAGGGAATGGCACAGATCAAGGAAGAGTGGGCCTCCAACACGTTCGAGGTCAAGGCAAATGACGAGGACATTCACACTGCCAATGAAAGGAGGTTGAGCGAGATCATCGGCAAGGACATTGGCGGAAAGCTTCACACAGGGCGCAGCAGGAACGAGCAAGTCGCAACCGACATGCGGTTATGGCTGCGAGAGCAGCTCAAGGTGCTTGAGGGTTATCTCAAGCTCCTGATAAAGACTTCAGTGCAGCGAGCAGAGGCTGAGATGGATATCCTCATGCCTGGCTACACACATCTCCAGAAAGCCCAGCCAGTGCGCTGGTCTCATTGGATACTTTCACACGCAACCGCTTTCGCATCCGAACTTGAGCGACTCCGCGAAGTAATCAAGCGCGTCAACAAGTCCCCGCTCGGATGCGGTGCGCTTGCGGGTAACCCGTTCAACATCGACCGTCACGCTATGGCCAAGGAGCTCGGCTTTGAGGGCCTCTTGCCTAATTCGCTGAACGCTGTCGGAGATCGCGACTTCGTCTTTGAGACATTACAGTGGGGATCTAGCTTCATGCTGAAGATGTCTCGTTGGGCGGAGGATTTGATCATCTACTCAAGTCTGGAGTTTGGCTTCGTCCGCCTAGCTGACGCATACTCGACTGGAAGCTCTTTGATGCCCCAGAAGAAGAACGCAGATTCACTCGAGCTTATCCGCGGCAAGAGCGGTCGTGCATTCGGACACATGGCAGGCCTGTACGTCACCATCAAGGGTCTGCCCACAACCTACAACAAGGATCTCCAAGAATCGGTCGAGCCCCTCATCGACCACATCAAGACGGTCAGCGACTCTATCCAGATTGCCACTGGTGTCCTGTCGACGCTTTCCGTCAATGCCGATAAGATGCACGCAGCGCTGGCTCCTGAGATGCTGGCAACAGAATTCGCAGACTACCTTGTCAGAAAGGGCGTACCATTCCGCGAGGGCCACCACATCTCCGGCCGTGTAGTCGCATTGGCCGAGAAGGAGAACGTACCCATGGATAAGCTGAGCTTGGAGCAGCTTAAGGGCATTGACTCCAGGCTCGGTGATGATGTTGTAGAGTGCTTGGACTACGAGCGCGCGGTCGAGCTGAAGAATGCTACTGGTGGTACCAGCAAGAGCGCTGTCATGGAGCAGATAGACATTCTGAAGCAACTTCTTTGAGCGAAGTAGATCTGGGCGTATGGAAATTAAGAGTAGAAAAATACCGTAACATCGCTACGTCATCAGCGACGGTATATGAGAAATGATAATTGTACGACTGATTGTCCAGTATGACCTTGTGCACGCGTCTACCCCACTTTGCTGGCCGCGGTTCCGCGAACATGGTGATGTGACCATATTGAAGAAGAACATATCTCTACGTCACAATCGTTCGATAACAAGGGCTCACTTTCTCAAATTTGAGTAGATTTCCAACTATGCAAGAAACCCGTCGAGACTCGCAAAGCGGCGACGTCGTTGTCCCCATTAACTACTTTCCTGCCACAGGTATTCCGATCCCAAAGTCCGCTTGGAAGACGCCATTCCTAGATGATCACAATGAACACACTCGATACATGCTCATACGAGATGCACGCACGAGCGGTAAAACCTTTGATCTCGACACCAATGGGTTCACCTTCGTCACGCTACCACCGAAAGACCGAGTAACCCGCGAAAGCACCGAAGAAGAAGTAAAGCGCGAATACTACCCAGAAGTAGAGGAAATCGTAAAGAAACTGTAAGCCCTCCCATTTCGCATACTAATCTCAAACAAAGTTGAATAAAAGAACCCACCAACTCACCATCGTGACCAACACCCAAACAGAACCGGCGCCACAACCGCCCACGTCTTCAACCACGTAATCCGCGCGCATACCTCACCCAGCGAAAAAGGCATCCTCGACCCAAAAGGCCGCTGGCAAGACATTCCCTCAGGCCACCCACACGTCGACTACGCCGGCAGTCCCTCCGCCATCGCCGGCACCCAACTCGAACTCTCCCTCCCACCCCACATCTCCACCCTCTTCACATCCTCCCGCCGCTTCGCCTTCCTCGGCGCCTGGCGTCCGCTAAAACCCGTCCGCAGAGACCCCCTCGCCGTGTGCGACGCCACCAGCGTCCCGGACTCCGACTACCAGATCCGACAGAGGGAATTCAGTCGTACGGGGATTAAGAGCGAGAATTACGTGATGAGTCATGGGGAGCAAGGGAGGCAGGTGCATCAGTGGTGGTATTTGAGTCATATGATGCCGGATGAGATGGTGGTGTTTAAGGGGTTTGATACTGAGAGGGGGAAGCCGGGGTGGAGGTGTCCGCATACGGCGTTTAGGGTGCCGGGGACTGAAGGGGAGGAGGCGAGGGAGAGTATTGAGGTTAGGGTTGTGGTGTTTTGGGAGTAGAGTGGGCGGAAATGTAGGAATCTGGTTGGATTGATGAAGCATGATGGGGTTTCTATGATTTTAGGCATGATGAGACGTTCGTCGGGTAAGCGATTGTCAGTTCTGAGGTAGTGTTGACCTACTGTTTGTTCAATACTGTTGTTACCTAGTGCAGAATAGTATTATTGGTTATATGACCCGTACTTTAAGTGATGAAATACTTTGTATCTCACACATGTCATCATATTTACATCTACAGCTCAACTTTGTTCACTTGCCTACTAGTTCGTGGATTCCAATGCATCTGTACTATGCATGCTGTGATTGCAGCTTTAGCTACCTTTTACGATCAGTTCCTAGAGGGGAATCGTGCACGAGTAAATACAATATATTTATCTCTAAGAACCTCTACGCCCATTAGCCATGCCAAAAACTTTATGAATCTGCGTATTCAGAGAATGTATGGTCACGTGAACAAAGACCAGAATTTCCACCAGCCTAACTAACCCAACCAGCCAAAACGCCAATCATAAGATCATCCATAAAAGTAACAACAATTTAGCCGTCTGCAGGAGTAACCGAAGGTACCCATCGCCACGGTAGGTTTTTAAAGTAAGAGAAAGAAGTCTTCACGTGACTAGCACCATAGCCTCCACGAAACCGGTGAGAAAGTTAGTTGAGAACCAGTACTCTGCAGAAGCCGTGGGTGCGCCTTGCCTTCTATATGAAATGGGCAATAACTCTGTAGCCTGATGCTCACCGGTGTGTCTATTTAGGAAAGGTTTCGACCCACCTGGATGCCTCAAGAACAAATGAACATTAGTCAGGTAACCAATGACGGACGCCAGTTTTTTGGCCCCCAGACGAATCCCGCACACCATTGGCTCGCTCACCGGGCGGTGTTGAAATTCTGCCAGATCACTGAGGCTGTGCCAGAAGTGTGACGAGGCTGTGTAGGGTGCAAATGCAACGGGGAGCTACACAGCCTGGAAAATTGCGGCGATGCAAGCACAGGAGAACTGAGATAGTGAGACGTTTTTACGCTAGTCCCGTTCTTATCTAGTAACACATACATATGGCCGACTGTATGATTTTGACACTCATGCTTGGTCGTCTATTACGAGTATTCTATATGACTATCGTTGTTGGGAAAAGTTTCCCACCGCCTTGAAATTCAGATGGGTTCTAGCAACTTCGAATTAGATTTTTACAGCGGAGGATGCGAGGCCGACGTGCTTGTCCTGCGAGACCGAAGGGCAGATCAAGCTCTGGGACATGTGTTAGTTCTTGGTTGAGAAAAGAGCTTCATAACGTACCATAATCTTACCGATTCGCTTTTCGCTATGGTCTTCTTTTGAGAGACCAAATCCTCCACGCGCAAGTTGGAGTTTACGCAACTGGCGAGATTGGACAGCCTAACGAATGTCAAATGGTATCGTCTACGAGATCCCTACTCATATCATACCTCTTCAACACTTTCTTTCATGATGTAACGGAATATTTTAACTGTTTTCTCTTGACCGAGCCTGATAATGCGCCCGATGGCCTGGTTCTCGATCGAAGGGTTCCACTGGGGCTCTATGATGTGTACAATGTTGGCAGCCTTCATCTTATTCAAACTAAATTCGTGTCAGTCAAGCATGGGTATGATAGCGAATAAGACATACCCGACTGCCCCGGTCCCTAGTGTTATTAGCAATACCCGAACAGTTGTAGACTGCTCAAAGTCGTCGAGAACTTTACTCCTCCTGCTAGCTGGTATGCTGCCATGTATGCGAAAATACGGGACTGAGGCGACATCGAATATACCAGCCATGATGTCGAGAGTCGTCTTCCAGGCAGAGAATACGATGCTAATTATTGGGTGAGTTTGCGATGCGCTATTGGTAATGGATGCAAAGACGTACCACTTATCACTTGAGCCTTGTTGCTGAACATTGTCGAGAATCGCGCGCAACTTTGTAGGCCATACTGTAGTCCGTAAATCTGTAGAATTTTCTGTGTCCGAGGAAGGTACAATAACAAATGATGACCTCTCTGCTCTTAAGCCGCAGAACGGGCAGCAGCTACGCCCATCTTCAGAGTTTTCATCAAGGTCCGCCTCAAAATCTGGAAGACATTCACCACATATAAGATGATGACAAACAGTCAGTACACCTGAGCTTTTGTCGTCGCCTTGATACATTGCCGTGATTTCGCAGCCACAATGGATGCACACGGCATCTGAGGAAGTCTGCAAGAAGCTCAGAGCTTCTTCCGGTAAGGTTGGAAGGCCGTATGCTGAACTTCTTTTGGCAAGGGACCTTTCCCCGTCATTACAGAACAGTCTTAGGCCCAAGATAGCCTGGATGACTTGCTGATTAGCTTTTTTGAAACTATGCCCTGAAACAGCCAAGTCGATGTGATGTTTACAACCCGCTGCATAATCCTCATATTGCATCTGTTCTTCAGCGGAAAACCGAAGAAGTTTCGTTTCCACGACCGGTTCAGGTTGTTGCAGGATCAATTTGGTACGGCGCAAACATATGGCTTCTAAAAGTCTGCTGAGGTTGCCAAAACGATTGTTAGTCTTTGACAGGATTGGCGTGCTGATGTGCTTGCGAAATGATGCCAGGTCATCCAGCACCGGAACTCGTAAGAACTTCACGAGCGCAGCAAGGTCCTCTAAGGAGTTCTGAATCGGAGTACCTGTCAAACACCAGCGAATGTGTGCAGGTATGGTTTTGATGGCGCGAAACTGTTTCCGCAAGGGGTTGCGGATGTAGTGAGCTAAGTATGTGAGCATCTTCTATAAGCTGCGAAATGACAGGACAGAGTTACCCTCATCCAAAACTAGGCGGTACCACGCAACGCGATTTAGTGTACTCTTTCCACGACAAAAGTCTGCAGCGACAGTCGCGTATGTCGTGAGAACTATATCCATGCGAAGTAGATGAGCAAGATCCACACGTTTTCCTAAGCCATGGAATCGATGTACCATGAGCGTTCCAGGTTCAATATGTCTAATAAATGTTAGAGGACTCACTATGGCATAATTCTAGACTTACTTGGCAATTTCTTCCTCCCAGCTCTCTAACAGCACTAGCCAGATCAGATCAGGATGGGTGTGATGTTTGTGAGTTACTTACATGAAGAGGGGACGATTATGAGGGTGGTTTTGCAAGGGACGATCTCCGTCCAAGAGTTTGTTGAGCCTCTTGTAAGCCCTACAGCGTAGTTGAGCGCTCGTTCCAGAGATCCTACAATGACGGCTAATGTGGTTAGTGTCTTCCCGAGTCCCATCTCATCAGCGAATATGCCTCCTAGGGCATCCTCCATCTCGCTACTCTTTGCGCCAGTGATGACGTGTTTGTAACTGAAGTGTCAGCCGATAATTCGTAATCTTGGCATACGGACATACCAGAATGGACCTCCGGGAAGAGAGTGAGGTTTCCAAAGACTGAGTGAAGGAGGTAAGTCTCTGGTTTCTCTCCTAGTCATAAAGTCCACGGCCTCTCGCTGATAACTTCTCAAGGTTAGCGAAAAGCTTTCTTTAGTGATGTTGAGAACGCACTTTTGGAGCACTGTGCGTATTCGCCAACTTGTAGACACTTCTCTCAAAACTTTCGACTGTGGAATGTTATCCAATACTGATTCCAGCTCGGAGTATGTGCTTTCTTTCGCATTGCCTGAAAGCAGTGCCGCAAAGTTCGTGCTTGGTGCCTCCATGATCTGCAACTTTGAGACATTGGGCAATTTAAGATATTGAGGATTGTCATATGTGACCAGGCGTGTGACAAAGCTTGGGGATTGTAGAAAGAGCCTCGTATTGCTGAGAATTCTACCAGCGGCTTTAGCAACTCCTGAAGTGTTGGGACCGTAAACGTTGACGTCTACAAGTAGGTTTGCAGAGCGTCCTGATTTTTTCCATTCGGCTCTAGCCTTCTCTAAGCTGGTACGCGATACAACGCCTTCAACCTCGACATTTGAAAGAGATGTTAGTCGTTTCAGGGCCTGCGAAATCTTTTGATTTAAGCATCCGAACCTGATGGCGTCGCGTATGTTCATCCAGAGGTAGCTACCAACAAATGTAGTTTCAAGTTCGACAAAATCGTTTCTTGCATGCTGAGATGAGCAATCCCTAAACGTAAGCGGATCTTCTCTGACTTGAAGATTCAGTTCAAGTAGCTAAGAATATCAGTGGATTGTGCTATATTAATCAGTTTTGGCCATAATCGTTACCGAGCCGTAACAAATATCCTCCGCATTGGTGGGCGCCTCAGGCTGATATGAAGAGCTTGTGGCAGAGACTTGGGGAGCATTGCGTAGCCTTTCCTCATCAGGACTACTATCTGCTCTCCTAGAATTGGTATCTAGTGTGGGCAGATGATCATCTTCAGCAGTTATTAGTACTGGGTATCTTGAATGATTGCATCTACTTACATGATATGATTGAAGTGGCCCCTTCGCGCCGCTTTGATGCTTCTGAAATGTCGGTAGGAGATAGTGGTCTCTTCATCGTCTTCTGGCCAATATACTGGAGCTGTCTTTGGTCGCGTCTGCAAGTTGGACCCGAGCTTCAGTGCCGATGGTTTCTGGGGACACGCTGAGTTGCCGAAATCCTTTTCACGTCTGATAGCCCCTGTTCAACCCTTCCAATCATTGGCCAATATGCACTCATGATGTATCAGATAACACAAGGCAGACACTCTAGGTGCCATTGGCGAGCAAGGCGCAGCTTTGGGGGCGAAAGTGGAGATGCGCATCCTGCGCACAGACCAGGTATCATGTCCAGCTGCTCCTTCCTCTTCCACCACGACACTTTGATTCTCACTCTCCTTGAAGACGAGATGATAAAAATAAACACACGCAAAAACCTACGGCTATGAATTCCACGACTTTTCACCTTGTACTGGAAAAGTTCAAGTCTGGCTTGAGTGAGAAAGAGAAGCGACAATTCGCAACAACCACGCTGGATGACGTCCATGTTGCTATAGAGAAGATTCAGCGCAAGCAGCAATCCGAAAAAAGGCTGCGCGCCATGAGTAAGCTAGAGTTATTCTTGGAGGGTATGAAGGAATACGAAAAAGTTGTGTCCGTCTTTCTCAACACAAGTGCGATCCTGGCGTTCGTTTGGGTACGACCCGCCGACCCCAAAACTATTCACTTCTCAGGCTGAACTCGAAGCACTCAGGGCCCAATGAAATTTCTATTACAGGTACAAATCTTATTCAGTATTTTGAATCGCGCCGCATGAAGATCATTGTTCTCCAGTACGGTTTGAGTGCCCTCATGCCATCATACACAAAACAAGACATTGGTTGAGACCGGCAAAGCCAAGAGTTCTGACTTTTATGAAGGTAGCCAGTACGTTTCATGAGGCCTTTGACGCCTTGCTGGATGCATATCAACGAATTGGCGAGCATATGCCTCTACTAGCCCAGTACGAAGATTATTTCCGCAATCATCCGCAGATGACTCGAGTGCTACGACTGATGTACGAGGACATACTGAAATTCCATTTCAAGGCAATGAAGTATTTCCAGAAGCGCAGTATGTATTTCAAGTTTTCTTTCCCATCAGTATGGACACGACATTGATAAAACGCAGTGTGGCAACAACTATTTCAGGCGCTCTGGAAAAGTTTTGACACCGAGTTCGCTGCTATACTCCGGGATCTACGCGAACACATGGCATTGATCGAATCACAGGCAACTGTGGCTCAGTTCTCTGAGATACTTGCAACGCGAACGCTTATCGAATTACAGTTTGATCGTGATAGAGAGAATGAAGTGCGCAAGCGTCGCATGGTTGTTCACCAGTGGCTCGCTGCAGCCAACTGTGGTGCTGATCAAGAGGCTTATGCCAAAGTGCGTCAAGAGCATGCAGGAACAGGAAAATGGCTTCTACGAGAGAACCGTTTTTGTTCCTGGTTCGACCCAATCCTCTGCTCAACACATATGCTATGGATGAACGGCATTCCTGGAGCAGGTTAGTTCGTACCGAGACTTACCGGAATCTTCGCTTATCATCAAGACAGGAAAAACTATTCTTACCTCTTTAGTTGTTGAGGAAGCTATGAAGCTGCCAGATGTCCACGTCGCGTTCTTTTACTGTCGTTATCTGGATAGTGAACGCAATACGTTTCTTGCGATTGCACGCGGCATCCTATCTCAACTGCTCTTTCAAGATGACGCTCTATTGACTTATATCTACGAGAAAGCATCCACAAGTGGGCAGGTGACGCTTTCGCTTGAAGCGACCGCACGGGAACTGCTCGAAACATCATTGAAAGCTTTTGAGAAGCTATATATTGTTATAGACGGAATCGATGAGTGTGAGGGCGACCAACGCCAACAAATCGTGTCGTTCTTCCAGAGTATATGCGATTCATTGCCCCCTGCTGATGAGGATTCGTTGCGGTGTATGTTTGTCAGCCAAGATGACAATATCGCAAGGAAACAATTCGCCAATATCTCGTCATTAAAGATTACGGAGAGTCATACAAGAAAGGACATTGTTGAGTTTGTAGCGGGAAGAAGTAAGGCCATAAAACAGAAGTTTGACTTAACTACAGACCGACAACAATGGGTACAGGATCAGGTAATGAAGAGTGCTGACGGTGAGTGCAAACCTCCCTCATACATTTACCTCTCGTGTTCTGATCGGTACAGGAATGTTTCTGTTCGCACATCTTATGACTTCTTATCTCATGGATCAAAGCTCAAGAGCAGAGCTCGATAAAGAGCTCTTGCCAGAGAAGTTTCCCCAAGGTGGTACTAGACTTGAAGAGATGTATACATCACGTGGAACAATGTATAGAATACAGCTGACGTGAATAGATACTCGCGCATCATACGACGGCTGACCGCCAACCGAGGATCTTTGAGCACGAAAACTGTTCAGTTGTTAACATGGCTTGTATGTGCAAAGCGACCTCTTATGTGGCGAGAGATTCAATGTGCACTGTCAATAAATTTGGAAGACCAGACTGTGGACTGGGAGCGTGACCGGCTCCGCGTGGATTCAAAAGACTTGTGTGGGTCGTTGGTCAACATTCATGCCGATAGCACCGTTGTCATAGTCCATCATTCTGCTAAGAAGTGAGTCCTTTTGCCAGATCCGTGTACAGGGACCACGTCCAGCGTATGGGTTCTTCTCCTCGCTGCGAGTATACTAAATGTTGCAGATATCTAATTGACAAAAGTCTCGTCAACCTTGGATATGGTGAGGGTAATTTGGCTCTTCTATGCATATCGTACCTTTGCTTTGAAGGGTTTGATGTTGAAGACGATAATCGCAGCGTGCCTGATTACATCCCATCGGGATATTATGGATTCATGGACTATGCGTATGCATACTGGGCTCGTCACCTGGATGCATTCTTGCGTGTAAAGGAATCAAAAGACGCCCTAAACGAGATATCTGAAGCGGCGGAAGTTTTCATCGACATGTACTGGGCGCAGCCCCGGACCAAGTCGGTACCCCCGAAATCATTCTTAGCAAGATGGGAGGCGCTCTCGAGCAATCGCAATTTTAACAAGCTCACTATTGCTGCTCATCTCGCACAGAAACAGCTTATTGCCTCAACCGCTCACTCTTCGGATCTTCAAGTGCTCAAGCTCCACCACGCATTAAACAAAGTGCGTGAGCACCTTGAGTTGGAAAGCGCTTCAGCGAATGGGGCGACGAAGTTGCAAGCAATGTACGGCGAGAATATTTTCAAATGTCCAAGGGTCAACTGTATACGATTCTACGGCGGCTTCGCATCACAACAAGAGCGGGACGACCACATAAAGAAGCACGAACGGTCCTTTTTTTGCTCTTTCCCGGGCTGTGCAATGGCCACGCTAGGTTGTAGCACACCGAGGGAGCTCCACAAGCACGAGACGGAATTCCACAAGACATTTGATTACGATGACGAAGAAGCAGAGTATCCCGAGTTGCCATCGCAGAAGGTGTCCTTTGATTGCAAAGAGTGCGATGCTAAGTTCACTCGTAAGCAAAACCTTCAGATTCATATGCGGAGTCGCCATGCGGAGAGTGGAAGCAAGCCAGCAGCCCATGTCTGCTCGACGTGTAGCAAGAGCTTTGTGAGGAAGAATGATCTTACTCGACACGTGACAACTACACACGACGATGCAAAGTCATTTGTGTGTGGCGGCAAGCTCGGTGACGGGTCTGATTGGGGGTGTGGGCGTGTTTACAACCGTGGTGATATGCTGAAAAGGCATTGGAAAAGTACAAAGGGCAAGGTGTGCATCGTGCAGAAACAGAATGAGGAAGATGCCGACAATGCCAGCTTGAGTGCCTCATTGCAGCCCTCGGCCGCATCTACACCTCAGCCCTAAATGGGTGTGATGTAGCACATTTGTACACATGAGCTCGAGGCATAACAATGGTACGAAGGGTTCCGCAATTTACACGTTAGATTAGGCATTCGGGAAGAATTTCTCAAATTGGATGGGTTTGGATATGTGAATATCACAGATAGCGTTCGAACAAAACAAGGCTCGTGTCGCTCTATGGTTAATGCCGTTTTGCTTCCTTCTCCTTCTCCCTCTTCTTCTCTTCAATCAATGCATCCAGCCGCCAGAACGAAGTGATTCCCTCCACAAGGCAGGTGCCTACCCATTTCCACCATACTCCGTCCAAAAAGGTACATCCATGCTTTGCCAATCTCATCACCATGATAACAGCCTCAACTGAATGAATCGGAAGCATCATCATAAAGATCAGCCAGCCGTACCGAGCTACAAAGTTCGCAAACGATGGCACCATAAATAGAGCGTAATCGTAAATGGGCGAGCCAGGCTGCCAGTTCGCTGCACGAGGCAACAAAAGAAAGGCCAGCAGACACTGCGTAAAGTTCCACAGATGAGCCGGCCGTGTATATGCAGGGACAAACCGTGTAATGGAGATGTCGCTCCGGCCCAGGGTCTCCAAAGCGTCCTTGTCCATCTTTGCCATACGCTCGCGAGACTCACGCAGGGTCGTCATGGGCGGATCCAACCCTATAACAGCTTGTTGGCCACCGCAGCTGAAGACCATCTTGTCCAAGTCGATAT